TCCCGTGGCGTCGCGGGTAGCCTAGCTGCGAGCTGCCCTGCTGCGGCCCCTGCACACTGCAAAGCGGCAGCAGATGGAAGAAAAGATCCGCGTTCTTGGTCCTGACGACGGAGCGGGGGCGCTTTACCAAAATTAGAGCTCGGCGATCGGTTTGGGCGATCCGCGCCCTCGCCTGTAAAGGCAAAGCTCACCGCATCGGCATCGCATCGCTGTTCTTTTCCGCCCGCTTGCGCTCAGACAGACGCGCGCTTACTTCCATGCTCCCGGCGCGGATCCCTAGTACGTGGCGAGGGGAGCGAGGAGGAAGCATCACAAAGCGACGCTTTGGCGTGATTGATGCTAGCGTTGCGTTGCTATAGCATCACGTTACGTTTTGTTCTCGCAACGGCCGGGCCGGGACGGCGACGATCTGAGCCTGCACGCCCGTTGCTTGGCGTGATCAGGGACAAGGCGGGGTAGAGAGCAGAGGGCAGAGGGCAGAGGGCAGGACGCAGGAGAGCGTATAGGCCTACTACGTATAGGGACATGTCCTCGCTTGCATAGGCCTAAAGTGATTTGGACGGAGGTAGGTGTGTGTAGTCTTTTTTTTTTGATAACTTATGTCTATTCTTCAAAAAAAAAAAATCTCGTTTTTGAGTCAAATAATACAAGTTTGATCATTTTTTGTAAAAAAATATACTAACATTACATTCAATAAATATAATAGGATTTTACTCTTTGTGGACGGACGGGGCAGTTCCTCACTTCTTCAGAAGGTGTACGCTGGGCCTGCTGCTGCTGGTGAACAGGACGGGAACTGCTGGATGCTGCTGCCGTTTCAGCGTCGCCGTCGCTGCAAGCTCCTGCAGTCGAGCAGGCTCGCCAGTGCCAGCCTCCCGCTACCTCTCTACGACTTTTCACTTTTGTTTGCAATGAACGATATTTGGGAGTACTCCGTACAGTACACCTCTAGGCTGCAGCGACGCAGGCTGTTACTGTGCTGGGGAAAAAATCCTTTTTTTTTACACGTGGAGGCCTCCTTATAATTGATGAGCGTTCGGTGGTGATTGTTTTCTAGCCATGTGTAGTAAATAGACGCTTAGGGAGAGAGAATAATAAATCTAATATGGGTCTTAGCCTACAATGGAAACAATAAATTTTGTATGCTAATCTACAATTATCTAACTACGCTTAAATAGTGACTAGGTTTGACAGCAAAAAGCTCCAACCAAAACCGGGCGACGCTTGCTCAAGTGTTAAAAAAAAATCTGCTCAAGCAGTGAGCCAACGATGACACCCACAAACGCTCTTGTGCGTCCATGGTGGAAAACGCTCCCAAGCGCCAGGTAGTCTAGCGTTGGCGTTGTACATTGCCTTAACCCTAACAAAATAAATATTCACTGTAAACACGTGGTTTTATAGGTTAGTCAACTGTAATCCCGTTTGACACGACGGGTTTCCCACGTCGAAAATCTGGGAATCATGATCGCCGACACCCAACTGCACAGGACAGCAGAAGCAACTGGATCATGATCGAACAGCTGGGAGCCTGCATGGGACATGCTATTTGCAGTCTGTTCGTTTCGGCTTATTCGCTCGTATCTGGCTTATAATCCACAACTTAATCAGTGTTTTTCGCTCACACCAAATCAGCCAGTAATACTTTCAGCCATGGCTTATAAGCCAATTCAACCGAAACGAAATCTACCATCTCGACTTGAAGAAAAGAGATGCCAATAGGCAGGGAATGGGGATCCAAGGCCAGCGAGAGAGAAGAAACAGAAGAAGCATTCAATTCGATCCAGGCGAGTAGAGTATCGGCTGGCATGAAAACAACGGCTCATCAGGCTTCAGATAGCGGCAGAGCAGGAACAGCAATGCAGCATGCCTCGAAGCTCGCGAGGAGTGGCAGGGAGAAGGGCCCAGCAGACGAGAAGAAAACAATTCTTTTCCTGGCTCAAAGCTGGATAGGATTTGGCCTTGTTTACTCCCTCCATAAAATTTTCATATTATCGAATGTTTAGACACGTGTATGAAATATTAAATATAGACTAAAAAATAATTAATTATATAGATTTCGACTACGACGAATCTTTTAAACCTAAATAATCCATGATTTGATAATAAAGTACTACGGTACCCACATGTGCTAATGTCGGATTAACTAGGCTTAATAATTTTATCTCGCGGTTTATCGACGGATTCTATAATTTATTTATTTTATTAGTATTCGATATGGGACTTTACACGCTCAAACTAAACAGGCAACGACACGATAGTATTTGCATGGGAATCAAATCACCAGCAACAGCCCTGCCCAAAGCGCCGGAGAAAGCAACGGGCTCCGCAGCTTTAGTCGCGCCTCTTCCCTTTTTTCCAGCCACGGGGCAACGAGGCAACGACACGATCGTTGAGCCGTAGCGTAGGTGTAGCCCGGCGCAGCGGACGTAGCCGTAGTCCTACAAAGATGCCGCCGTCGCCCGTCGCGTACGTACAGGTAGTCAGGTACTGTACAACTAGCGCCCGGCCGCCGCAGAAAGGCATGCTCGCCCACCGCACGCACGGCACGAGTACACGGCGGCGCACGGGCGCCGCCGCCGCCGCCGCGGTGTGACGAGACGAGCAGGCGGGGCGGTGGGCTCGCATCTCGAGGAGGCACCCAATCGCTCGCATGATGACGGGGTTTATGATGATCAAAGACCGCTTTTGGCACCGGAGCATCATATTCATGCGCGATCGCGATCGAAAACCTTTCCGAATTCTTTGCCTAATCATTGCAGCGCCGCTTGGATCGCGGGGGCTGTCTGTCCCGGCGGGCGGAGCGGCGCGCCCGGCTGCCCGCCGCCCGCTCCTCCAAAGGCCAAAGCGCGCTGGTCAGAGGCACGCGCGGAGGTGACGTGTGGCTTTCCTAGGAGCTGTACTGTGGTCTCGTCTCGTCAAAGCTTCAACAAACTTGCCAGGCTGCAGATATGCGTAGCGCCGCTCCGGCTAGCGCCACTTGGAAAGTTGGAATCCAAGAATTTCACGTTTATTGTATCAAAAGTTTTATTTTATTTTATAAGAATAAGTTTGTTCTTCTATAGTAAAAACGTGAAAATAGAAAAAAAATCGCATTCTAAAGGGAGCCTTAGATATCAGTTTATCGTTTGTAGAAAACTACATTGCCCAGTAAAGTCAAATGTTTACACATGCATCCTAGATGCCATTATACCAACTTCTCTTTCCTTTAGCCCTTTTAATTGAATTGGTGGGCTTGCTTTGCAATTAAATTTGAAGCCTATGCCCCCGTTCGCTGGTCTGAAACTTGGCTAAAATTAACTGAAAACATTATTCTGACTTAAATGTTGTGAGAAAAAAAATACTCTTTCGACTGAAAAAAAACCTGAACCAGCCAAGTTGCAGACCAGCCAAACGGCCCCTATTTTAGACATCGAACAAGACAACAGCAACAGCACTGTTCATCAACCATAAGAGCAGTGGGTATCACTGTTCACGAAAAGCATTGTGCAGTACTCATATCTGCAGCCTGGCAAGTTCGTGTCGGCTGCGAAATCGGACGGCCACGAATGCGTGCAGTCTTAACTTGCAGTGGCAGTCTAATGTTTGGGTCATGTTTTCTATTGTTTGGATTGAAGGAATTTTATAGGAATTTCAGAGGAATTTAATTCCTATGTTTTGCTTACATCACGTGGTGTTTGGAACAGATGAACGAACTTTTTCTTTCCTATGGAAAGGCTTGCTTTTCTTTATGAAATAGAGGAAATAACACATCCACTCCAAGCTCTTGGAAATTTTTCCTACATGTGAATGGAGAGATGAGCGAGCCCATACTCACTAGAACGGAGGAATAAATATGTTCTTATATTCATGTAGAGCAAGCCCATATTCACTAGAATGGAGGAATAAATATGTTCTTATTTTCCTGTATTTCAAACACCCATTTCTATAAAATTCCTGTGTTTTTTCAATCATCTGTTTTCTACCTACACTCATTTTATATTCCTGTGTTTTTCATTCCTCCATTCCAAACAGGCCCTTCATATTATTAGACGTTATAGTTTTCTAGATACATTATTTTTATTATATGTCTAAACATATTATATATCTAAACGCATAATAACATATATGTATCTAGAAGAGCTAAAACGTCTTTATAATTTGAAATGGAGGAGGTATCATAGAGGCAGCCAAGGATTTCCTCTCACCTCCCCTGCAATGTATCCTTCCTCTCTCCTCCCCTGCGATGTACGAATATGTTTGCCGGTTAGAAGATAATGCCACATCAAGCCATCAATCATCAATTCTTCTTTGCCCGAGTGCTGAAAGCCTAGATCAAAGGGCTTTGTCTTTAGAGCCAACCAAATTATATGTAGGAAAAATAATTTATAAATCGACTAGTACACAATATACCAGGCAGCACGTGCATCTTGCTGACCAGCAAAGAAACATGGAGTGCAGAAATCATTCTGCAGGAGGCAGATTCCACTTCACAGGGAGAATTTTGTAATGCCTCTGCGCGATAACAAATTCAGCGCAGCAAAAGCGAAAGGTGCGACCTTTTTCAGTTTAGGCATAGGCAAAGGAAATAACATCTGGAAGATTCTGATGTACCAGCTGAACATAGGTAACGAAACTAGAGTCAAACTGGAAGGTTTTGTCATGCCAAGAGCACAAGTCAACCAAATGCGGATGAGATAATGACTTGGTTAAAAGCCTCAGTTTTTTCCCCCAGTTTTCTTTTTAACCATTTTCCTGTACAACGGAAAACAATTTGGCTCAGATGAGCTTGAAGTATTGATTTGCTTGCCTAGAGAGACGGACGGGGATGATTTAACACTCGATTTAGTTTCTGTTCACAAAAGATGGCTGAACCAAAGTGAATGGAGCCCTTAACCAAAAATCTGCAAAATTAGACTTGCGATCACTCGGAGCAATGGTGCATCACTTGATGCAATGTGTCTCGGCATAAACTTGAACAGAAGGCACATGCAAAAAAGCATGTCAGATTGTTGTCAGCAGAATCATGGCACCTTCTTCAAGTCCTGGACATCTTGAGTCCTGAAAAATTAAAACCTACCAAATCAGCAAAACTGAACATCATTCTGACCAGAGTACCAATAAGGCAATACATATGCAGGAAGTCAGTTAATTCTATTCCTAAAGAAATGCTTAGTGGTAACTCAATCAGCGAGCATCCAAATATAGAAAGGAAGTTCAAACATATGCAGTTGATAATAATGAGATATTGCATTATTACACAACCACATGGAGCCATGAAATATAAAGGAAATCAGTACCTCTGAAGAGAGCTGGATCCTTCAGGTTCATCTTCATCCTCCTCTTCCTCCACTTCATCTTCGTCACTGTCAATTTCCAGAAGACTCAGTCTGCACTGACTCAACACTCTTCTCATCAGGAACACATTCAGGTAGTACTTTATCGAATCTATCCTGGGCTTTGAAGCAAAATTTTTCAACACAACGGCCCAATATGTCTTTTGATCCATAACAGGAACCAATTGCTCAAGTGCGTCGAACTTTAGCTGCTCATCGCGACTCCACAACTTAGAAACCTCCTCCCCCATAGAATCAAACTGCCACATTGTAAAAACTCGACCAAGTTCAGAGCGTAGCTGATCTCTTGCTTCATTTGTGTGGAGCTGTCTGCAGAAGAAGGATCCTGGGAAGGGGCAACTACATGATCCGGGCCTTCCCTGCCCAACAGCTACAATGTCGGTTTTATAAACTTCACCCTCAGGAGGCCACATCCTAGTCCCTAACATCTTTGATGTCTCTGGGTCACTCCTGTAACGTGAAAGCTCTTTTCCTGAAGGTTGCCCAGTCCAATCAGGTACCTCTGCCTGAAAGTGCTCACCTACTCCAATCTTTTTCCGTTGCGTGAGGAGCAATGATGCCATGAGTTTCATTCTCTTAGCTAGCCTCTCAGATTTCCTTGTTGGCATGTTCAAGCACCCTTTCTTTTTCTGTTTGTCCCAGTAGAGCTTCCTTTTCTGCAAAATGAAAATTTCATCACACTCTAAAAGGGTAAGAAAATGCAACTGCATCTGACATCTTGGGGCAAAATGCAAGCTGATACAATAAAAATATGGGAACATAACCTTGTAAACAATTGGCATTAAAGGGAAGTGATGAAATTTCAAGGCATTTTAAGCAGGGGGGAGTGCCAAAACGCAGGCTGCAGAAAAATTGAGTGCATAAAAGACCTGCTTGCCAAAGTATAGAGCAGCAGCAAGCTCCCTGGTTTATTGTTGAAATTAGAAACCCTTCATGGGGCCTTCACAATGTCATAATCGTTTCCAAAGAAGCATCAAATATTAAATAGTATCACTATGACTCAGGGGCATCCATTTCTACTGTGGGTATTAACAAACTCCAGCAAACTGTTTAAAATACAGAAGCCCAAGGATATGTTGCGATAGCATTCTAGCATTGCTCATTCCGCGAAAGACCAAATCATGCATAGTTGTACAGTTTTCCAACAATTTTCGCATATAAAACCAAGGACTCCTAAGAACGATGGGTTGCTTTCTCAAAATAACCAAATACTAACACTGTTACTTTCGGACTATACTTTATTGATTTCCATTCCAAAATGTAGATTGTTTTAGTTTTGTCCAAACTCCAAAGCCAAACTTCTCCAACTTTGACCAATTTTAATGAAAATTATACTGACATCTACAACAATTAGTTTAATTTAATCCACCATGAAATCTGCCTTTGTAACACAGTTATTTGGTACTGTAGATATTAATATATTTTCTATAAAAAAATAGTCGAAGTTAGAGAAGTTTGAATTAGGGCAAAACAAAAAATGACCTACATTTTGAAACAGAGGGATCATCAGTTAAGACATTCAGTTAAGACAAACATAGGATTAGTATCTAAATATTATTCAATTCCAAAAACTATCACTAGCATCCCCACCTGCCCAGCAAAAACCAGCACGAGAATTCCTTATTTCTGTAAAAAAAAATAATTTGGGTTCCTTATTTTTTTCCAAGGGAGAGGGAAACGCCTGCTACAAGTACAAAGGAGAGCCTGCTCCCAAACACTCAACACGCACCCATCTAAGCCGAAAACAGACGCACCATGGACACCATATTTGCCATAAAAAATTTTGAGTTCCATTATCTTCCATCAGTTTAAGTTCTCATTCTTGTCATACCACTTCCATTACCTCCATCATGGAATCATGGTCATGTTGACCCAAGAAATGTTGTCAGATTTTTGTGCAAATACCAATGTTTTAAATAGCAGGCTAAGCTACTTAGGAGGAGCCTCCTTCAAAAGTTATAATAAGCTATAGCAGAAGCTATTTCATTTAGCAGTTTTACAGAAAACATGAAAATTTCTAACCAGTTATGCACGGGAACATGAGACTAAAGGAAATTTTATGAACACAAATATTCAAATATATGTCCAGCGCTCTACAGAACATGTCTACATGTCCATTATTTCAGTAATTCAACTGATTAACATACTCATGGCTATCAACATTCACTTTTATACAGCATTCAACAAATAAACAACTCAATAATTTTCAACGGTACATTACATCATTTATCAACTAAAGAACACAATGATGAAGCATAGAATATAGTCATATAAAGTAAAGAATGAATATTTTCCTCCTTGGGACCTGGTGGACGGGATGACCTTGCAACATGAGGTTGCTGATCAACATCGGTGGAAATTGACCAATTCGGGTTCCTAAGCAGCAAGTCAGCATGTGCCATTATTTTTTAGGGGACCATCAAGTTTGCTCCTTGGAGAAAAGTTTGGAATTGTTGGGCTCCTCTAAAATGCAAATATTTTGTTTGGTTTGCTCTCAACAACACTGGACTGCGGATCGCCTCGCCAAAAGAGGCCTCCCTCACCTTTGGCTTGCTCTCAACAACGGATGCTGGACTAGGGATCACCTCACCAAAAGAGGCCTCCCTCACCCAGCAGCTTGCCCCTTCTGTGACCAGGCCAAAGAAAATATTCAACACATCCTCACTCGTGTGTTAGGCAGGTCTGGACCTTGATCTTCCAGAAATTAAAACTCTATGCAGTAAGGCCTCCAGAATCTACTAGTCGCTTCTATGGCTGGTGGTGTCGTACTTTAAGAAGTGTTCCAAAGGAGATGCACAAAGGAGTTAATTCTCTGGTCATCCTTGTTGCTTGGGAGCTTTGGAAGCAATGAAACACTTATGTTTTTGAAGGAGCACGCCCTGATGTTCAGACCCTCTTATACAATGTGGCTAAGGCCCTCCAGGAGCTCCTTATAAGGTCGCTATCCCCTGAGCTTTAGGGTTTAGGTAGATTGTGAAGGTCACAGTCGCCTCCCTTGTTTCAAAGACTAGTAAGGCAGGGTGTGTATTGGGTTTTTGTAGGGGGAGACCTCCCTCTGAAAAGCTAAAGCAGACTACTTATAACCATGGAAAATACCATGTCTACACCTTCACGGATGTGAAGTCCTCACAAGTTGTCCCAATCAAAACAAAACCCTCACTAGCAGTCCACCACTGCCAATGACGGATTTCATCACTGCACAACAAAACAGAACCGTTGTCCTGCTACGATGTCATACATCCCTTTACACCCTAAATTGAGCTTAGTTATGATGGCTCCCAAAGGTTACACTAAACGGCAGCATGTACCCCAGCAAATGCACAAGAAGCAAGCGGAGGCTCAAGCAGCAGGAGGATCATCATCAATTCTCATTTGCTGTGCAGTTGCGGGTGCACTATGCATGCTGCTGCTTCGTTTTGGGTTGCGAGGAGCAAGCAGACACGGTAGAGTCAAAATCAAAGATTGGCCCATCCATGGCCCGTTTCCGCCTGTTCTTGAGCCGTTCTCACCCAACTTAGCCGCTTTCACCCATTATTTAGCTGTCCCCACTCGACTTAGCCGTTTTCACCTCTTGTGAGCTATGTGGCACATGTTCACCATCCGACTTAGCCGTTTTCACCTCCTGTGAGCTATGTGGCACACGTTCGAAGGCATGAGTACTGAAATTGAATCTTGATGATGCTCGTCCAGCAGAAATAGGCATCTCAGAGCAGGGCGGACGATCTTCCAGCCATCTACGAGCTTTGTCTCTTGCCTCTCACTTCTTTTTTGGAAATGCCTCTCACTTTGATCTCCCAGCAACAAGCAACAAGTGCTTGACATGTGTTTTTTATTAGTTTTAACAGGTTTGATGCTTATGGAGAGGAAAATCAGAAGAGAGAGAAACCGAGGAATTATGATTTTTACCAATGGAGAAATGGTGCTGAGTTGCAGGGCGGGGGAAGCGGATGGGGAAGTGATGACATGTTGGGCCCGATGAGCAACGATGTCTTTAAGCTAAACTTAATAGCTAGCTGATAGAAGTGGCCTAAAAGGAACCAAAAATTGAAGCAGTGGCAGTAAAGGAAGTTCGTTTTCCAGGATGGCAAATAACACAATACCTTTTCTTTTGACGGCAAATAAAGATTTTTCTCAACAAACAAAGCTTTTTCATAGCAAGGGAAATACTTCACATGCAACCAATTTAAGTGACTCCATTACGACAAGGTGTTTTGGAACCTCTGCTTCATCAATGAACCGCCACCAGAGTGATTTAAGCCCTTTGATCTTATGATTGTAAGCAAGTTGTACAGATCTGTCGTATGTATATCAACACTCATGACTCAACATAACAAATGGTTTTTTAATACCACTGATCCCCACATACTTAAGTCACATAGAAGTTACTAAAACATTCTAAATCCTCAGAAAAATTCAACCAGCCTGTTCGCTTGTTGTTGTTGGTTTCAGCCAGGGCTTATAAGCCATGATACAGTGTTTTCCTCTCACAACAAACCAGCACCAGCCGAGCTTATCAGCCCCGAAACCAACCAGCGAACAAGCTGAACAACATAAACTGCCCTTCAAATATCTCTCTCTCCAGCAACTTCCAGAGGTAAAGCATTATTCTGGGTGTGGGATCAATAAACCACACACACAGTTTGCATGCAGCCCTATTGTGCATTGGAAACTATACAAAACTAGCACAGTAGATAAGCTATATATATCAAATCATTCATCCACGTGGAATGAATTTTGGATCTACAACTACCTTTTGCCCATCACAACATTAGCACCACTCTACTTTGCAAGTGCGTAGCCTTTTCCTCACTATAATCTGAAGGATATGGGTATCACCCTCAAGCACAGGATATTAGAACTGGAATTTTTGCTTGTCCCTAAGTCCATGACACAAGCCTGTCATACTGTTAAGTCTTGTCCTAATTCCTCTCTAATTTCACAACCACTCTTCTGCAGCCTCCATGCCGCTTTAGTCTCCGCCTTCAAGTCAAAGTTGGAAAGAGTGAAAGACTTGGCAAAATGTTTCCCAGCTTACCCTTTCACGTGTTCTTCACCAAATATACAGGGCCTGTTTGGTTGTCTACATTAGCCCCGTGCAGTGCATTTTGTACATGTTTGATTGCACGCAGAGGCTCTTATGCAGGCTTGCCCAGTACTCAAAGCAATCCCAATGCAGCATTGGCTGGTATGCCAGATTTGGCCATATTAGGCAATGCAGATTTGCACTAGCCCATGGGGCACATAAAAATGAAATATTCTCACCTCCCTAACACTACTAGAAACATGAGGCCTCTACTAGAATATGGAGGTGACTATATACAACAGAATGCAAGCAATCAAATACAATTTTACTAAATGCGACTTGCCTGTGCAGCACAACCAAACACCAAGACATTGTATAAGCTTATGCTGGTTTGAGTTGTGTTGCATAAGGTCTAACGCAGGTTAAGATTAATACAGGCAACCAATCACACCCATACTGACAGGACATAAACGCCACACATGATCATATGAACATGACAAGAATATCCAGAAAGATAGGAGACGGTGTGCTTGGTAACTGTTATTGGGAAAATAACATTGTTCTTATTTCGAAAAAACAAGAAACAGCCTACGTACGAATGGCTTCACATCAGCATCAAAAGCTTCAGGATGTATGCCTTCTGGAAAGTTGGACATGCAAGATATTTATGCCTTAGTTGGGCATGCATTTAACCATGTTCCGTTTCAGTTTGCTAATCTTCCCGATTTATCTATTTTTAGTACAAAGGGTAAGCCAGAAAAAAAAGGAGCTTGGATGGTAAAAAAAAATGCTTGATGTCATTGGCATCATCAATAAGAATATCTTCCAAAGCTAATTAAAAAAAGTGTGCCTATATTTGTGTATAGCCAGAGAATAGCATTCTTTTCAGGACAGAAGTAATATTAAATTTATCGACTAAAAAAAACTTCCCGATTAGGATAGGACTACATCAAGGGTCAGCTTTGAGCCCTTATTTGTTTGCCTTAGTGTTGGATGAGGTCACAAGGGACATACAAGGGGACATCCCTTGGTGTATGCTTTTCGCAGACGATGTAGTGCTAGTTGATGAAAACCGGACAGGAGTGAATCAGAAACTGGAGTTATGGCGGGAGACTTTGGAGTCCAAAGGTTTTAAACTCAGTAGAACTAAAACTGAGTATATGAGATGTGACTTCGGCACTACTACTCGGGAGGAGGAAGATATTAGTTTGGAAGGTCAAGTAGTGCCTAGGAAGGATACCTTTCGATATTTAGGATCAGTGCTACAGAGAGACGTGGATATTGATGAAGATGTTAGCCATAGAATCAAAGCAGGGTGGATGAAGTGGCGCCAAGCATCTGGTGTCCTATGTGATAAAAGGGTATCACAGAAGCTAAAATGCAAGTTTTATAGGACGACGATTAGACCTGCTATGTTGTATGGTGCAGAATGTTGGCCTACGAAAAGACGACATGTTCAACAGATAAGTGTCGCGGAAATGCGTACGTTGCGTTGGATTTGCGGTCATACAAGAAGAGATCGAGTTCGGAGCGATGATATACGTGATAGATTAGGGGTAGCACCAATTGAAGAAAAGCTTGTCCAACACCGGTTGAGATGGTTTGGACATGTTCAACGGAGACCTCCAGAGGCACCGGTGCGTAGTGGAATCCTAAGCCAGGATAGTAACGTGAACAGAGGCAGAGGAAGACCGAAGTTGACTTGGGTAGAGGCAATAAAATGAGACTTGAAATGATGGAATATACTCAAAGACTTAGCCTTAGATAGGAGTGCTTGGAAGACAGCTATTCACGTGCCTGAACCTTGATTGCTTCTGCTGGGTTTCAACTCTAGCCTACCCCAACTTGTTTGGGACTTAAAGGCTTTGTTGTTGTTGTTGTATCGACTAAAAAAAACTGATCGCCCTGTCAGGTATCTTCCAAAACACTTATGTCGTGTCAGCCACGAACAACAATAACAACGAAAAGCCTTTTGGGTCCAAACAAGTTACGCAAGTTAGATTACACGAAAGCCTGGGTCAAGGCTCGAACACATGGATTGATTTTCATACAACCCTATCCAGGAATAGTTTTTTGGGTATACTTGATTCTCTCAAGTCTCTCTTTACTACCTCTTCTCATGTCAAGTTTGACATCCTGGTGTAAAAAAATAAAGTTTGGCCTATTCTGTCTCTACCTACATTATCAAACACGCCTACGATAACACTATGCACCGGTGCCTAGGAACAACCAGTAATGCATGTAACTAATTTTCCAGATAATGTGTAGTACCACTTAGCGGGGTTATTAGGACTTGGGTCTCTTTGTTGGGTCATCAATCCATGTACCTTTACCAATTAACCAATTTCAAGCTAGCTTGTAGCAGTAGCAACTACTTTTTGCTGTCTGAAGCATTAGGCAGAGGATGTTAAGCCACAAATTTTCCATTATCTAAAAGAAGTGCCACTGCCATGTGGGAATATGGCCATGTTTGGCACAGCTTATTCCCTAGTTTCTCCATAGATATGCAGAAGTTGTGTCAGAGGGCAAGATTACATGATAGCTTATCAACAAGCAGAATCAAAGAATTAACTAAGCAAAACGAGCAAATTCTGCTTTTCGTAAACTCTGCAAATAAGTGGATTCAGGACACAACTTCACAAGAAGTTTCAAACAGGGACAAGTCACATGTTAGTGCCATTGGATAGCGGCATGCCGTAGGGGTACTCCGGCTTGGAGTGCGGCAGCGCAAGCGGTTGGCACTCCACTTCTGAAATGCGCAGTGAGAGACCAGCCAATTGGGTGGCCATATCACTCATCTGCCGCGAGACATCGGACACCATCTTCGTCAATTGTTCGAGTGCTTGAGGAAGGATGGCGGCCGACCCAGGCACCGACAGATCACCCTCTGATACCAAGTTGTTAGTGCCTAGGGATCGAAGGGAGTAGCTGTGGGAGACTTCTGGTTGGCGCTTCCACGAACTCCGTCGTGAGGGCGCCGTCGGACTATCGCGAAAGAAAGAGTGCAGGGCGCAAGGGGCAACAACTGTGTTGTCCTGCTTAACATCTCCTCATCCAAGTCTGGGTTCTAATACAAGATTAGGCACACGCGCGGACACACCCAAACACCTGGTTCGGTCATTGCCGAGATCGTGGGCGCACCCACGTCTCCTGGCGCAGTGCCCCACTTCTTCCTTCTGCTGTAGGTTAGGCCGGTCATAACATCACACCATGACAACACAAATGATGGCTCTTAGAGCATCGCCAAAAACTCCTTAAAAACACTTGCCAAATCATTATTTATACCAAGTGGCCAAAATGAGTAGGGAGCTAATTTGTTGCCTTCCCCCAATAGTTTGCAATATTTGGTTGCTAAAAAGATTTAAAAAGGGGGGCCCACAACATAATTTTGCTCGCTCCTCCCAACCTCGTTCGCACGCCGCCACCGATCAGCCGCCAGCCAGCCACCGCCACCCCCCAACCGGCCGCTGCCGCCCCCCAGCCGGCCTCCACAGCCAGCCACAGGAGCAGCCAGGGACGAAGAAAACCGCGCGAAGGGTGGAAAAGAAAGCCGTCAAGTGAGGATACAGAGCACAGAAAGCTTGCACATATGTGAGGAGTCGTAGAGGAGATTTACCATTCGCGTATCTTTAGGGAGTTCGGATACAAAACTGTTGGAGGGCCTTTTGCCAAAAAGAAATGTTGTTTTAAGATCTTAGAGATGCTCTTAGGTCCTTTTTTTTTCTTGCAAACTGAAACAGATAGGTCCCAGATTACAACAACCCACAGACCACATTTTTACTATCTCTGGCCATAATTAGATGGCGTTTTGGACAGCAAAAAACACTAATTACACGTCAAATTTGCTGTCCAAAACATACTATAATTAGTACCGGAGGGAGTACAATCTGTCATCTAATTATGACCAGAGGGAGTACAATCCAACAGTCTGCTGTCCTTAGTAGCCATGTTACCACAAGGGAACGGAACTTGGGGTGTTATTTTATAACGTGAGAACGTAAATGTTCCCGAATCAGGGACGTGGACATTCCCAGAACGTGGAACGTTTCCGGCTACTAAGAGTCTGTTCCCCCTCCCTGCGCGCTAATTGTGATAATATATGCAAGCTGCAATCCACAGCCCGCGGGCTGAAACAAACAGGGCGTTATAAGCTTTGATGGCTTGACCCTGGCTAAGATACTAATATGGTCCTAGTCAGGGTTCCCCCTCCCAGACTGGAACCGTCTGCTCCAGCACTGGTTGTCAAAAGTACATGATTCCTATGCAGTGACAGTGATCCTACCCACTCGCGACACCTGGCATTACCATCCTGGCATCCTCCGAGCTGCAGTCTCTAATCCCCGGAAGCCAAATCAAATAGTACGGCATAGAACAAACGGATGTGACAAATCTTAGATGTCCCTTGTCCAATCCATACCGATCAGTCCCACAAACAGAGCAAAGCAAGCAACAGGCTACCGAAAACCACGTTTCCTAAGAATTGGCAACAGAAAACAATACAACAAAATACGAGAGTTTTGCGCTCATGCGAACTAACCTTGTAGAAGCTGGGAAGCTCTTCTGCGTCCTCCACGTCCTCCAATCTAAGGTAGCGAGCGCGCCGCAAGGCCAGCACGTGCCGCTTCCTCGCCCTGTGCACTGATGGCGCCGGAAGGGGAGCCACGGGATCCGCTGCGAGCTCCCGCATCCACCGCACTAGCACCCCCAGATCCCCACCCACGGCGCCGCCTTTGCCGCCTCCCGCGCCGCGCAACACGCTTCCCCCGTCGGCGACCGCCTCGAACCGCTGCCGCGGCTCTCCGCCGCCATACGCCTCTGCAGGCAGCGGGGCGAGAACAGCCGAGGGAGAGGAGGAGGAGGAGGAGGACGAGGAGGAGGAGGAGGCGCCGCCACCGGCGATGCGTGGCTGGTCACCGCAGTGGCCGCCGCCTAGGGTGCCGAAGGGGTCGTCGCGGAGCTGGTGCTGGTACATCCCCACCATCGAGGCGAGGACCCAGCCGCCGGAGGCAACCGCGGCCGCGCGGCCGGTTGCTGATGGGATTTTGGTGGGGTCGCCGGCCGCGCGCTGCTCGCTGCTCCCGCCTCCGCGCTTGATAGCTGTAAATCGTAATTTCGGAACCGAATGTTCTGGGTTAGCGAGTTGAACGATGATGTGCCGATGTGATTCGTGGGGCGCCGAGGGTAAGAGTATGGGCCCATCTGTCAGTTAGCGGAACCGTTTGCTCACGCGAAATTGTTTCTAAGCAATAATGATTTAGCGCGTCGTTTTAGGTTCGGTTAAAGTAACGATTAATTTATTGCGAGAGAAAACACAGTACTATAATTATAATTATAAGGCAGTCCAAAGAAAAAAATTAGTAGTTTCTATAACATAGGTTATCGTACCAAAAAAGTACTATTTTTCAACTTATGATTTCTATAAGTAATAATTATTTTCTCTTTCTCTCTCAACTTTATCTTTTTTCTCCAATGGGTAGTGCGGTACGACCCCTAGAAACTGTTGGTTTATCTTCAATGGCGATTTCATAATTTTTTGGCGCATTGAGTCAAGAGAAGACCTGGTTTCTTCGTAAGGCCAGTCTTAGTGGGGTTTCATCAGAGTTTCATGGGCATTAAATAGGTTGATGTGGCACCGTATTGATGAAAAGAGAGATGATAAGAGTTTTATGGGAGTAGAGAGAGTTTTATGGGGATGAAACTCTTCTGCACTATTTTCAAAATATAGATGCATTGGTAACAGGGCTATGAAATTCCCACTGAGACTGGCCTAAGGAAACCATTTCTATGATTTTTTCTCTCTTTCTTCATTAACTACGTTGTCATGTTAATATTTTAACTACGTGACAAATCATTTAATGAGGATAGAAACCATCATTAATACATCATGAGGACTGCCTAATTCGCTGAACACATTAATTTTCACAAATCGGGCTGGTCTGCTTTTTGACATTTGCAACAGAAGCAAACGAGAGTACCAGGGGGTGTTTAGTTTCCACAAATTCCAAACTATGTAAAAAGAAGATTCCCCGTCACATTAAATTTACGGTACATGTATGGAGTACTAAATGTTGACAAAATCAAAAACTAATTGCACAGTTTGGCTGTACTTTACGAGACGAACGTTTTGAACCTAATTAGTCAACGATTGAATAATTGTTACCAAATAAAAACAAAACGCTACTATACCTACAGTGTAGCTACAGTGTTTTTGTCGATGCCGAATCGGTGCAACTAAACGAGGCCTAGGGTGCATTTACTTGCTGAAGCAACGGTGACCAGCTGCTCGCATCAATGCTCACTCGGTAGTCGGTACACACAGAAAAAATGGCTTATACTGTAGCAGAGTGATTTTTTTAGTAAGTTCCAACACGGTCATGGCCTAAACGAATAGACCCCTGCAAATGTATTTTCATCCACCCCTTGGGGGTGGTTTATTTGCTTCAATCTTTACTTTATAATAATATCCCTTCATCATAAAAATATAAGTCTTATTTTCCGATAAGCCAAACAAATATACCAAATTTAGACAAGAAAAGTACCAGTATTAATAATGTTAAATAAATATCATCCAATTAATTATAAATTTTTATAGTAATTTCATTTGATATATAAATACTAATATTATTTTTCTATAAATTTATTTAAATTTAAGAAAGTTTGATCCATCCTGAATCTACAGTTTTTTTTGACAGATAGAGTACAAATTACAAAGTAAATTATCTGGAGAACAAATGGTTTGGTGGGTATGCGACGGAAAAAAAGACTAAGCATAAGGGGGCGTTTGGTTGCTCGCATCCCCTTGATCCGGGCTCCAGAGATGCAGTGCGCCTGTGATTCATTGGTTTGCTGAATTAGGGTGTCGGTCAGGCTAAAGCCGTGCAAAAACTACCGTCGAAAAGGTCATAATGCCTAGATGAGGTGAATAGCCTATTAAAAAATCTACAATAACACTAAGCCAAGTGGTTAAATAAATATAAGACGAAGTGAATATTGCGCTAGCCTACTAAAATTATAAGCCACCTACCAATAATTCTAATCAATTATAATCACTAAGCAATCAAGGGCTATGTCGCTACTTTCTAAACTAGTTGAGCTAGCTAAGAACTTGTAAGGAAAATGGACCCTATGTCCATTTACTTTAGATTTTGGTGTTTGATGACCAACACAATTAAATTGGACTAATGAATTTACAAGTGATTGTTTTGTAGTTTAATAGGGTGCAAGACGTGACTTGGACGAAGGGGACGTGTTGATCCGATGATCAACACCATAAGCAAGACCCTAGGAGCACAAGAGAAGACCCAAGATATCAAGTAAAGTCCAAGTATGAAGATAGGAACAAGCTAGACGCAAGATCGCGAAGATACGAGCTCACAGAGGTGACCGGACGCTGGACCGGACGCTGGTAGCACAGTGACCGGACATCCCGATCAAGAGGCTCGGCAGCAGCAGCGACTGGATGCTGAACAAGCAAATCGACCGGACACAGGACAGTAAAGTCCGATCGAGTACAGAGAGGTTTCAGAGTGACGAAATTACGACCGGACGCGTCCGGTGGCATGTGACCGGAAGCTGGCAGTGTCCGCTCAGTTGATCGCGGCTCCAACGGTCGGGACGACCGGACGTGTCCGGTCAGGACGTGTCCGGTCAGTAGCAGAAAAGCGGGATTTCGTCACTAATGGCTACTTTCTCAGTGGGGCTTATAAATACACCCCAACCGGCCATTTGAAGTGAGTGGAGCTGAGGAAACATATCAAGGGTGCTAGTACACCATTTTAGTGATCTTCACTTGCATAGTGCTTAGTGATTCATTAGGTGATTAGCGTAGGTGCTTTGTGAAGTGCTTAGGTTGATTAGACCACCGCTTATGTGTTTGCTCTAGGTTTAGGCCTAGTGTTTAGTGAGATTTGTATACCTCTTACTACCCGGTGCTTGTGCGCATCATTGTTGTACATCGGAGAGGCTTGTAGTCTTACAAGATCACACCGACCGCGGTTGTGGTGTGGCCGCCACTGTGTACCGGAGGGAATAAGGCCCGCGGCGTTTCAACCGAAAGCTTGATAGTGAAGACGGCGGGGAGCATCTGGGAGAGGCTTGCCGGAAGGCACGTCGGAGACCCACTTGCGCGTGGGGAAGGCCTGAGGCTATCCACGGTGTTACCCGACCGAGAGCTTGGCCCTCGCGAGGGATTCCTTGCGATGGGCTCCAACGAGGACTAGGGGGAAGCTTACGCGCTTCTCGATACCTCGATAAAAATACCGGAGTTGTCGACGGAAGTTTGTATATCTCTACCTTGCTCTTTAACTTCCGCATTTACATTGATTATATTACTCCTTTTGTGGTAGAGATAGCAATACATTAGCAAAACCGTAGTTGCATATTTAGATAATTTATCTTTTGCATATGTTTTGCTAGGGTTAGAAAAAGAGGTCATAGTTTAGAGTTAGAATTTTAAGTTGCATAATTCAACCCCCCTCTTAGGTGTCACGGTCTCCTACATGTGGTATCAGAGCCGGTTGGCTCAATTTGGACCTTTGGCTTAACCGCCATTGGACTGATACTATTTAGAGTGGTTGGGATGGTGTCGGATACCACAAGAAGGGGTACCCTAAGCAAGAACCAAAAATATTGCTTAGGCCTTGTAAAAATGAAACCGTGAGGTCTTAGCAGATTTTCCGATTCGTCCGAAGCCTTGCGCCGAGGCCTCAGGCGAAAGACCAAAAGCTCCCCACCCCACCGAGGCCCTCTCGCCGAGGCCCCATCCCGAAAGGCCTCGGACGAGATGTCAATTCTCCGATTCGCTCGAGGCCAGGCTCGACAAAACAAACTCGTAACGTCCGTCCTGACCGAACTCCTCTGACAAAATGTCACGTCCGGATTAATGCGCCCAACTACTCCCGCAAACGTCAGCCGCACGCGGGTACAGTACGGGCAGAACGACCGACGGGACAGGGGACCGGGCGCAGCAGGGATTACCTGCCACTATGCTCATCACTGTGCTCCCTACTGACACCTGTATTGCCTGTGCTACCTAACCCCTGCGCCAAGGACAAAGCGGCGTGGAAGGTCAAATCCAGGTCTCTGTAGTCTCAGCAACAGCAGGAGAGCCCAGCTGCTCGTTCTCTGCCTCGCCTGAGTCCCCCCGGCAGGGCCTCGGACATACTGTTCCTTCTCCGCCTCTGCCAAGGCCGGGCTCGTCCCGCATCCTCGTCGCCTCCGCCTCAACTATCCCCCTGGCAGGCTGTCCCATCCATTTAATGCGCCTGAATGCACCCGCTACATCAGCCACGATTGGCAGGGTATAGCAACAGGGGCGATGGGACAGCGGTCAAATCTCCTTTTTACCATCCCCTACTGACGGTGCAGGGGTTACCCTGCCCTGCACTTTTCCACCTAAACCGGGCCACTATAGCCTCGGAATCAGTGCATAGGCCCAACTGCTCCCTCCAGGGCCTCGGCAAATCAGGCCTCGGCACGGTCAACTACAAATACCCACCAGGGCCTCGGCAAATCAGGCCTCGGCGCGGTTAGCTACAACCTGCCAGGCCTCGGCACTCCACCAGGTCAAGAGTCCACCAAAGCACGGCATGTCTCCGGCCATGGAAGTCATACTAACTAGACGTCGACAAGGACTCCCACGACCTCAACCATTTCGAACCTGGCCAGCACGGTGCGCCAGACAAGTACTGATCTCCATTCCCAATGCCATGCTGCTACAGGACTAAACTACAGTAGGCTCCACATGTAGCTCACTCATGTACTCCTGGCTCCTTCCTTGCGGTTATAAAAGGAAGCGGCCAGGGATAGCTCAAAAAAGGAGAACATACGATAGAACCGCGCTCCCATATTCGCCCTAGACACATCCTGTAACACCCACGCTCCCGAGCTGCTTGAGAGCAGCGTCTCAAGCACCTCGCATCGTCCCACGCCGAGACCTGGGACTAGCTTCCTCTCTCGCCCAGGTTGTAACCCCCTACTACA